TCATTCATTTGTATTGCAGATTAACAGATGCATACAGTTTAATATTTGAAAATATTTTCTTCATTTATTGTAAATCTTGTGCTTTACCTTCACTTATTGTTATATGATTATCTGGTTCCTGCAGGTTGAAGAGATGTACAAAAAGGCCCATGCTTCCATCCGTGAGAACCCAGTTTATGAGAAGAAGCCCAAGAGAGAAGTCAAGAAGAAGAGGTGCATTTTCAGGCTTCTATCATTTCTTCAGATTTTAATCGAAGGGTTGCTCTGCCTACTGACTGTCATGGAATTGATATTGCCATGAAACTTGACAGTGTTGGCAAGTTGTAGTTTTGATGGCAAAACTGTATAAATGTTCTTTTATTACAGTTGGACATGTAGCTCTTAAAACAAATAGTGGTGTTGACTAAGATAAAGGTTTGAGTCTTGAGTCTTCCCATAAGATCTCAATGGTGATGCTTAAAATGATGCAAATATGCTGTAGCTACTACTTATAACACTTGCATGTCAGATGTTTATATTTACTTTTTTTTTACACTATTCTGACCACGTGAGATGTTTTTATTTTCTCATCACTGATGAATATATGTGTTGTTAGGTGGAACCGTGCCAAGCTGACTCTAGCCCAGAGGAAGGACCGAGTAGCCCAGAAAAAAGCCAGCTTCCTCCGGGCACAGGACGTTGCTGCAGACGACTAAAGAGATGAAGTGTCAACTGCTCCAAAGAAAGCTTCCAAATAAATCATTTGGAAAGAATACAGTGTGTTTGTGGTCTTTGGTAGAGTAGAAGATGAGAAAATGTTGATTTGACAATGAAGATGCATTTGGGATATTATTTGAAACACTTTTAATGTGCAAAGTCATGCAATCAAATCTTATAAAAATCTCTATTTAACTCTTAATCAGCAGCAGAGTGATTTATGAATACACAAAACTGAAGCAGTCTGACGACATACAATCTGAATCATCCCACTAAAAAATGGTTGATAAAAAACATCAAGCACCTTTTAATCTCTTCATTCATAAGTACATCAAGAATCTTGACTGTGATGAACATTTCATACTGTTTTTAGATTTAAAAAAAAAAAGACCATATCAAAATGGTTTTCACCAGACATGTCAGTTAGAAGTACAAATTAGGAACCCAACAAACCAAAATGATAAATGTTTTGAACTTCCATGGTTGAGAAGGGCCTACCAGCATCATTTACAAGACTCACTTTTGTAAACATTCAGATCAATAAGGGCAAGCTCACACAACAGAACTGTAAGACTACCTGAATTGCTGTGGTGTTTACACTACACAAAAAGTTTTCTTGTTATCTTGACATAGCAGACCGCATACTCCACAACATGGAGGGGGGATATTTTCTCACATATATTCATGCAAGTGATTACAAGATTTTTCCGTTTATACCATCTGGACTGTGGTTGGCAGGATTAGTTCCACCTTGCCATTGCATCGTACAGACACACACTACAAGATCATGTAGCGATGATATCAAATAGATTTGAAAATATCTGTCTGACTGTTCGAGACAGGCTCAGATCATATTGCTGACCTGCTCATACTTAATGAGCTTCGGTGACAACAACGAGCACTGATTATTAGGTTTTAATTTTTCTCCAGATACTTTAAGATGGATTGAATCATACTTGTCAGGTCACACACAGTATGTTAGTATACAGAATTATAAGTCTGCCCCCCTAAGTATATCCACTGGTGATCCACAAGGATCTATTCTGGGTCCTTTGCTTTTCACTTGTACATCAATGATCTTCCATCCGTCTACTAAAAAAATTGAATTTGCTTAGCTGGGATAACCTGATCAAATATGTACATATTTGTCTACTGTTTAAGACTATTCATAGCCTGACTTTACCATTAAAACAGTTTGTGAATATTAGAACAACTGCTCACTGGTCTACAAGGTGTGGGGAAAGAGGGGACTATTATTCCTCTCAAAAGATGAAAATTTAGTCAGTCTGTATTCTCAGTCAAAGCTGCAAGGGAATGGAACTCCATTCCATCAACAATTAGAAGACTAGATACTTATGGTTCTTTTCAGCTTCATTTAAAAAAATGGTTACTGACAACTCAGCACTGTCAACATTAGTACTGTATTCTTGAAAGTAGACTTCTTTGTACTAATTGCTCTTGGCTATGTTGCTTTCTCCTGTCGCCATCTCTCTCTCCTTTTCCTTACATTTTATTTTGTCTAGATAACTACTATTTGTATTTTAGTAGTAACTTTTATTGTGCATTCATGTATCTGTATTTTTTTCAGTATTTTACTTTTTAGTCCCTTTTATTTGTAGATGTGTATATGTGTGTAAGATGCTCTGTTTCTGTTTTTAGGGTGACTTTTTAACATTCTGTCAAGGGTCTACAGATGAAAAATAGCCTTTCTGGCTAATTCTGGCACATTTACAGTTACAGTGCACAGCATAAATGAGTACACCCCCTCTGAATGAATATAAAAGATGTATTTTCTTAATGATCACTAATATAATTAATATAATTCATGGAAAGATGGAAAAATTGAAACATTTTAAACATATAAAATAAACCATGTCTTCATTTGTGATCAGAGAAATTACAAACAGCAAGCGCTACTCTACACTGCTCAAAACTCACGTTTGAATCATCAGTGGCAAATTCTTTATATATAA